CTTCCTAAATAAAAAAAAAGAAAAGAAAAGTATTTAACCACTGTATGCCAAGTTCCTTATGCAACACATTATTACCCAGTTATGGAACGCGCAATCTTTACCTTCACTAAAACTAATTTGTTAAGAGGCTAATTAAACATAAACTTACAAAGCTGTTATAAAATGCCCCGCCATACTGGTAAGACATTATGGTGGTGTGCTGGGTAGGAGTATATAATATGGTGGTGTGCTGGGTAGGAGTATATAATATGGTGGTGTGCTGGGTAGGAGTATATAATATGGTGGTGTGCTGGGTAGGGATAGATGGTGCTGTGCTGAGGTGGAGTGTTGAGAGGAGGATACATTATTATGGTTGAGAGAAGAGGCTCAGAGCTAGACTACCTGGGTTTATCCGGCTCCTTAGATAGTATGATCTCAGGCAATTTAATGACATTCTTAATTAATCTGCAAAATGCAAATTAGAAGTACTTTTACCCCAGAAGACTGTGGTGAGAGTTACAAGTAAAATAATAAATGCAAGGTATTTAGAATAGTTGTAAGGAGGGACAGGTCCTTGGAGAGGGACATCATGTTTGGTAGGGTGGAGGGACAGCGCAGGAGGGGAAGACCCTCTATGAGGTGGCGTGGTTCAGTGACTGGGGTAATCGGGATGGGTGTATCGGAGACAGTGCCATTGGCCCAGGATAGAGCAAAGTTTAGGACTGTTGTACATAGGGTCACTACGAGTCGCAAGCAACTCGACACCACATAACAACAACAACAACAACAACAACAACCATTTAGAATAGTTAGCCTTTGAAGTTCTCTGCATAAAAGGAGAAAGAACTCACCTTGGTCTATTCTGTTCTCTCTAGATTGCAAATGCTTGGCCAGGGCTTAGTCTCCACTTTGCCTCTCTGGATGCTCAGAGCTCAATTTTTGGTGCAGTCTGGAGGGAGCTGCGCTGCTAATCCAAAAGTGCCTCTTCGGTGGTTCGAATCCACCAGTGGCTCCACAGGAGTAAGATGTGCAGTTCTCATCTCCTGCTCTTTTCTCCTGCTCAGTTCACAGCCTATGCAAACCTTCTGGAAGGCCAGCTAGGAGGCAGTTCACACCTGACGTTAATGAGTATTTTGAGCTCCCCACCTCCAAGTTCACCAACTTTTTAGGATGAAACCTTCTGTTTCCTTCCATATTAATATATGTCTTTAAAATTCCATCAGTACTTTTCCTTTTGGAAGCCACTGAAAAAAATAAATAATAATGTTTCTGGCTGATATTTGGATTATCTTCTCTCGTGATTACCACCAACTTCTGCTCTTACAACTGAAGAATGCAAAGGAATTACTGACATCTAGATTTTGGAAAAGCATAAGAGGGCAAGCTGAAGGCAAGAATGCCAGCCTCCCCTGCACAGGGATGTGTGATGGGAAGGGAACTGCAGACAAGTATGATCACTTAAGGGTTTGTGCAGACTGGTTCAACAGTCACCATGACAAGATGGTGTGGTTTCATCACAGTGCTGAAGATGGAAAAGAATGTAATTTAGATAAACCTGGTTCCCTTCTCTCAGATAATGTTGATTGCATCATTTGCCCTTGCTCATGCACTTCATCTCAGATATCTGACTGTTTGCATGGAACCCTCAAATAGGCCAGTCAGTCACAAGTCAGCAGCTAGCCCAAAAAGTCCATGAAAAGGAAACAAACAGACAAAAAACACTGATCTAGCAACAGAGTCTAAGTTTTCAAATTAATTGTAATCAAGCAAGTAAAGTTGACTAAACCTGAATGTATTTATCTTAACTTATGACTTGTATTTTCCTTTTGGAAACCATCCTGAAAATGAGTAAGATTTTGGAATAGTAAAGACATTTTCATTATATTGCTCTGCAATAACTTTTTCCCCAATCAAAACACAGAAGATAATTTTAAGAGTACTTCTCACATTAATCTACTTCAAAAGAGTTTACCAACCACAAAGTAAACATTTAAATGTTTGCATATAAAAGAACACTTAGCTGTATCCACGAGGGGCCAGTCTTTGGGGAGGGCTATCATAGGATTGATGCATAAGAGGAAGACCCCAGATGAGATGGACTGACACAGTTACCAGGGTAATGAGGGTAGGTGTGTCAGAGACAGTGAGATTGACTCAGGATAGAGTAGGATTTAGAGCTATTATGCATAGGGTAACAATGAGTTGCAGCAAGTAACTCAATGGCACGTAACAACAACAAAAATAATAACATAAAATTCTTGGATTCAGAAGATGAAGAGTGAAATAATGCAACTATTTATTGTATTTTATCTATGTCTGTGTCAAAATGATGTGGAAATATTTTTCTAAGAAGTCTACACAATTTTAGATAGAGTGGTGTGTGCGTGTGTGTGTGCGCGCGTGTGTGTGTGTGTGTATGGGGTTATATAAGTTATCTCAAAAGCTATTCTAACATAGTCCAATAAACTGAATTCCATGCAATGTCTTAGAAATAGTAGGCAACCCCAGAAATACATGACCTCAAACATGAGTTTCTAGCAGGAAGGCTGGAATTAAAAATAGATCTAACAACAGACTCCAGGGGAAGGGCAAGTCCAGGCAGTAAAAGCTCAAACCCTGACTACAAGAACATCCCCATTCTAAGAATTATTTTGTTCCATCACAAAGATCATTCATTTTCAAAATTTAATATCTTGATTTAAGAAATGGAAGACACTTTAAACTAATTCTTAATTTCTTCTACATCCCTGTATTTTTCCTCATTGTCCCTCAAATACAAAATGAGCATTAAATAACAGAAACTATGCTTCATTTCTTTTCATCAACCAAAAGACTGAAGAGATAATCTTACTTTGAGGCCAAAAGAGATATACACAACAATAACTTCCAGATTGGCATCGAAATAATAATATAAATATCTTTTAAGGTAGAATCATTGTTTTAAGTTTGAGCATAGCTGCTAAAGAAAAATGAAAAATAAATGAAGTTTTAGGAAATGGATTAATTTTAGTGGAAAAAGAAAACAGAAATTTGACTTTTATCCAGTGGTCCTTAAAGTAAAAGAACATTTGTTAAAAAAAAAAAAAGATCCATTTTCTCCTTACTAAAGAATTTCCTGAGACCATATTCCTGGGTCAGCTTATTTCAGCTTTTCAAGTTTTCTATTCTTGTCCTAATTCTGTTTCAATATCTATGGCAAAATCTAAAGAGACCATGGTTAAATACAAACAGATTCAAGGATCACCCAACACCAATCTGTTCACTTCTCATTGTTGTTGTGAGCTGTCTCTGACTCCTGGTGACCTTCTGTACACAGAGTGAGCGATGGGCTGTTCCTGCACCATGTCTATGACCAAATATATGTCCAAGTCCATTGCTATGGTCGCTACAGTGTCATTTCTTCTCACTGAAGGTTTACATCATTTTACAACATTTTTCAAATGTTCCTTGGCTCTTAAGCAAAAGGTTAGAGGTTCAAATCCAACCAACGGTGTCTCACCATTAGGACTGATTCTATAAGAGGTCAATTGTCAATAAAGAGACAGAAGCTCAACTTTGTGTGTGTGTGTGTGTGTGTGTGTGTGTGTGTGTGTGTGTGTGTGTGCATGTACCGTCAAATCAGATCTGACTGATACAGGAGGAAATTGTCCCTCCTTCTCCGGCAGAGCATCTGGTGGATTCAAACCATGTACCTTTGGGACTGCAGTACAGCTTCTTGCCACTAGGCCACCAGAGCTCCCCAGAAGCTCAACTTTTTTAACCAACAGGAATTCTTTATCTCTAATATGGTTAATAAAATATGGTTGCTTTATATAAAAGAAGTGCCTAGATCTTATTTATATTCAAGATTTTATCAACAAATCTCATTCACACCAACACTAGGGTTGAATATCCTGAACAATCCTCAGCACCCAAACAAAATAATGTTTCAATCAGATTCTCATTTCATAAATATCTTCCTAATCCATAAGAAAAAAATGCATCATTACAGATGACAGAGCCTTGTCAGTCAGACTTCATTTTTTAACTGGAAATTCATGATTCATTTCAGCAGAATTGAGATATTTGTACTAACTCTTAATACTCACATATACCACCCTATATGCTAACAGAACCTCCTAGAATCTCCTAAGCAATACAAGAATCATTATCTAGTTATATTTAAGCAATGTTGTTTATCATGGGTAAAAATCCTTGCAATCCGTCTTGTGTTATCTTCGTTCTCCACAGTCTTACTTTTCTGATGACTTTGGGTGGAAGCAAAGCCCTGAATCAGTCTCTATACCAAAACATAACCATCACATGGTAGAGCTCACATCTGCACAGTGAAAAAGCTTACCTGTCTTCTGTCACAATGACCTAAATTACACCCAGAGCAACAGAAATTACTCCTGTTACTTTTGAAAAATGCTGAATTTTAAAGCTACATAAAAAAAAAACAGCACCTTAAAAATGAATGTATAATACTGCATAACGTTTTTTACAAGAATTTCATCTTTCAGGATAAAAGAAAATCCAAAGCACACTGATAAGCATTTTATACTGCTTGTTCAGCTAATTCACATAAATGCTTAGCCACGTATATATTTTTACAGAATGCTTGAGGTGCTAGGCACTATTCATAGGCAAAGATTAAAAAGGCAATCAACCTATAGTCTCTATACCAAAACATAACCAAAATCCTATTATCATCAAGTTGATTCTGATTAATAAGTAATCATGCAGAATAGAGCTGAAAATTCCTGTAGGGTTTCAAAGGCTGTCATCTTTTCGAGCATAGATTGCCGCATTTTTTGTGGAGTGGTAGCTGGGTTAACCTTTAGGTTAGCTATAAAATGTTTTAACTACTAAAAATGAATAAAACTGAATGCCCAATCTAGTGAAAAGAGCATGTTCACTTTTTGGAGGAATAGTTCACAATGCTCTAATCAGTCCTCATTGCCCCTTTTCTCTGCAATAATACACCAGTTGCCGTGGTCATTCCCAGAGCTCAGAATACGGAGCTCTGCCACACTGTCCTTCAGCAGCCCATAGAGCTCGCCTTCTCGAAATACATGGTAGTATCGCATGAAGGACCTCGAATCCAAAATGTCCTGCTGTTCAACAGATATTGCATCATCAGGCATGGAATCTGTAGAATCAACTGTGGAACTCTTTCTCAACATTTTAGTAGGAGAAGAGTTTCTTTCTTCTAAGTTACCTGCACTGGCTCTATTCTCATTGGCATTGGTGCTATTCAGTAAATGACCCTCTCCACTATCTCTCCGCAATTCTCCTTGCTGGTCTCCATTTAAAGGCTTCTGTGTGCTCGGTGCCCTCAGCCATTGCAAGTTTTTCTGGGAAGAAGTTTCCACAAATACTTCTTCATCTAAATGTTGCCCTTTTGCTGAAAATCGCCCATGGTGACCTAAGTCTAAACTAGAATGTCTGGAAGGTTGAACTGAGATGGTGCTATTGGTCCAACCTTCTGTGTTTTTCATGGGCTTCATTCTTTCAATCTGCTTCTGCAGCGTTGATTCATCTAAAGATCTGGAGAAAAACCAGGAGCGAAAAGATCTTCCCAATGTGTTGTAGAATCCATTTTCTTCCTCACCCTCCTTAGCAATATTTGCACAGCAGGTTTGAGCCATGTAGTGGTCCATGCTGTGGGACTGCTTTAAGTCACATCTTTCTTTGGAACAGACAGAACAACTACACTCAGAGCAAGGGGGATGGGAGGGAGAGATGGTTTCTGCCTGTCCACTCTGCCTCCTTCTCCCAGCCTGGCTGGGTTCACAGACTTGGGAACATAAGGCTCTGTTCCATGGAACAAGCACATCTTGCTTTTCAAAGTGACGGTTCTTTTGTTCCATAGCCCAAACGTAGATCATCAGTTGACCCCCGGGAACTAAGACCCGAGCCATTTCTTTAATTGCTCTGATTCTTCTTTGCTTTGTAGAGAAGTGATGTATGACTGAAAAAAGAAGAAATCAAATCTCTATGAGAATATACACAAATGTAAAGGGTTTTCTATATGAGTATTTTCTGTATAACAATGTTGACATTTTTACACATAGTAAAATCTCCTTACTTCCTATGTGGCAGAGCAGATGGTGGAAATAGACTAGCTTTTAAAATCAAAATCAAACACAAGCCCACTGTCATCAAGTGGATTGTGACTCCCACAGAGTGACTGTTCAGAACAGGGTAGCTGTGGTGTTAAGGGTTTATTATTCAAAATGGCTTCTCTAACCTGTGACTTACTTTGTCATGTGGATGGGCAGGGATATGCAAATAGGGCATGCTAGTCTATCTACAAGGGGATAGGCTAGCCTCACCAATCTAGAGGGGATTGGCTGGTCTCACTATACATTGAGCAGATCTAGCAGCAGAATTGGAGAGTCTCACCACAAGCAAGAGAATGTAGCACATCCTTTGTGGTCAGAGATTCTTGTGGCAGCCAGACAAGGGCCAATGGGAGTAGCAGCTGTAGGAGCCACAGCAGAGAACCAGAGATCTGATGTGAGATGGAGCAGACTTTGGGACTGATATCTCATGGAACCAGAATGAAAAGCCTCTGGCCAAGTTCATTTGACAACTGGTGGGGTGGAGGAGAGCCATAAATGGCAGGACTGAGAGCTTTGTAACACTGGCCTAAAGCCATGAGGCTCAAGACTGAGGTGCCTGTGAGCAGATTTTTGAAAGCTGTCCTGATTGACTGATTGCATTCTGCTACTAACCTGAATTCTGCAACTAAGCCCTTTGACTTCCCTAAGATGGTTTTGTGTAGGCTGTGAGCTATTGCAATGGATTTTGGACCCAGTAGAAAAGTTAAGATTGGTGTTAGAATGAGTAAAAAAGAGGTGCAGGACTGTGGGGGCCCTGTCTGACTTTGTGGGAACTGGTTTTGTATCACTGATGTTTTTGACAGGGACAGTTCCCCATTGTGGAAATGGTAAAGGTCAAATTGTCTGTCCTCACGTGGCCCTTGCTCTTTTTACAGTAGAACTGCCTAACAGAGTTTTTAAAGCTGTAATTCTTTACAAACACAGATGCTACATCTTTCACTCACAGAGCAGTTGGCAGGTTCAGAGGGCTGGTTTTGAAAGCTGACCTCTGACTCATAAGTCTGGGGCTTTACCCACTGTGCTATCAGGGCTTCTCAACCTAACTTTGTTATTTATATTATGTGTCATCATGTTGGAACCGACTCATGGTTAACCCTTCAATTGGCTTTCAGAGGTAGTAAACTGTATGGGAAGAAATGATCCATCTTTTCCTGTGGAACAGCTGGTGGGTTTTAATCTTGTGCCTTTGAGTTGCCAGTGTAGTTTCGTAGCACTAAGCCACTGAAGACCCCTCAAGCTAAGCTTTAGGAGGGATAATTATTAGCTTTGGTCCTTCTACTTATGATCTTAGGTAATTTATTCCAGTCCTAAAGATTTTAAACTTCATCTATAAATAAGAAACCTAGAATAAATAATGTATAAATTCTTCTCTATTTCTAAGATTCTATGAATTTCACTAACTAGAAGTATGATCAGTGTGAGTAAATAAAATTTTAAAGGGATGCCTCTATTTGGTTAAGTATTTCCTAATAGAGATCTATGAAATAATGCATTGTTTTAATGAATAATTGATACTTCTAAAGCACCCAAGGATTAATACCACTAGTCAATATTCTTAAAATTAATAAAGTAAATGAAATTAGAAAAAATTATAAAGATTGGTCTTTCTATATAGGCAATGCAAAAAAAGAACCAGCCATGATGAGTCCAAATGACTGCTTATAATGTTTTTACCATTTTTATATAAAATGATTGTGCATTTTTAAAAATTCAAATGGCTGGCCATCATTTTACTTTAAAAGTATGCAAAATCAGTCACAATGAGATTCAAACCAATATAGTGCTTTTGGGGATATTTTTATCCACCACTGTATAGAAAGTACTAAACTATTAGCTCCTGGGGAGTTTAATCAAACGTTATGTTCAGAGAAAATATCCAATTATTTTCCCACACATATGCTTACCACAGCTCTCTAGTGGGAAATTAGTCAGAAGAAAATGTGAATACTCCTGCTCTAATAGGATTAGTAAGGATAGAGAGAACGTGGATGGAACAGCCTCTCTCCCCTCACTTTAATCACTCCCCTCTCACCAGTGTGAAAAAGCTCAAGGGACACAGTGGGCATGTGACAGAAGAACAGGACATCACAGCCTTTTGTCCAGATAGACTTGTGATCTTTGGTCAACCACTTTATCTCTCTAAGCCCCAGATTGTTTTTTGTTTTTTTTTTCACTTTGGTTTTGTGCCCCCACCCCCCACCCCCCACAACAAAAGAGGCCTGTATGGCAGCTAAATCAAAAGTGCATATTTCTAGAAGCATCATCTCAGTCACCGGGGTAAAAGGTGAGAAAGAAAGGCAGTAGGACTGAGACAGACTCAACAGTGTTCATGTCTAATTCTGACTCCTCTTCAATACCACCCAGTCTATACCTGTGAACTTTTATATATTTCCTAAAAATCTCTCTCTGCCATAAAAATATCATTAAAATTGTATTCTGTTAATTCAGTACTCTCTTTTAAGTTGACTTATATGCCTCTAGTATCTATGTTTATTGAGACAAACAAACAAATCAAGCAAGTGGTATGGAGCTGATTCATGCCATCTGCGTAGAAGAGTGCTCCGTGGTGTTTTCAAGGACTTATTTTTTATAAGTAGATTGACAGGCCTTTCTTTTGAGGTATCTCAGGCTACTTCACACGGCTACCTTTTAAGTTAGCAGCTGCATATGTCAATTGTTTACATCATATAGTATTTACAAAATATTTGCTGTTGTTTAGTTTTAAGGGCAAAATATTTATATTCCTTTATTTATTAAGTATCAGTTAATCTCCAAAAGTGAAATATCACAACTTTATCCAGAAAATATCCAAATTTCTTTTCTATTTTTGTATTTATACTTCACATATAAAAATACATTACCAGTTTTAAGTCAAACACTTTTGAAACACAAAAAAAATAATTTTAAGTAAATATTCATTATATACATATTACACAGGCATATAAAGGCATGTTGTATTAAGAAACACTGTGAATATAACAAAAATAATACTTAATGATGTCTCTTCCATCCTAAAGAAAAAAAAAGATGTATCTATATGAATTGTTAATGTGTGGACACTATGCTGACTTTATAAAGGATTAAAAACATGTTCCTTTTTGTTTAGAAGCCATGACTACAGCTTACAGGCAAAACTAGAGATCAATATGTTTCCTATACCAAGGTTCTCCTGCTACTGTTGTTGCATGCCAGCGAGTCTATTATGACCCTATGAACAGCAGAGCTGAACCCCGCCCTATCCTGAGCCAGACACCCAATCTCCCACATGCTCCAGTCTATTGTTCCAGTTGCTGTGTCAATCCACCTTGTTGAGATCCCAGGAAATAAGTAGGAGGGATTCAGTTACTGGAAGCCAGAATCAGAAGGAAAGTTGCACAAGACTATCTTTAAAGTCTTGCCATAGTTTGAGATATTATTTAACCAGAAAAGTGTGTTTGTCATGTCTCTATAAGCTTATCTGCATCAGAACCTATGGGTTTTTGCATAAAGCAGAGTTTCTTAGTCTGTGTACTAATGATCCATCAGGATCCTTAATTCTCTGTGGTTGGGGCTCACTCAGTCCCCCACAGTTTTGACAGCCTTTGGACATCCTCAAATGTTCCCCAGTGCGGGTGCATTTTCACTCTTGTTTGAGAACCAGTAGCATAAAATCCATTGCCTAAGATAAGTAAGGCTATTTTAGGCATACTATACTATTTTAATATATTGTCAAATTTCCCCTAAAAATTTTCCCAGGCTATTCTAAAAATAAGCAGAAGAAAAAGTGTTTCATTTTCTAATCTGTCAGTAAAACAGGGAATGTGTAAATAAGTATGATGATTACCTTATCCATTATTTTTAATAAAAAACTTTAAAAGCAAAACTTCTTTTTCTTTTCTATAAGTATGAAGTGCCAACACACAAAACTGTAATTAAGGAAGTAAACAGATGTGGGCTGAAGAGAGGTAAGAGAGCTTATTGCAATTCCTCATAATAGAGGTCCAAATGAGAACTCTAGCTGATAATTACCACACTACCTTAATTGATAGTTACAGTTCATGAGACTGTGCTATTTTTCCATCAAAGGAAGCATTTTTAATTAGAAAATGGGAACCAGGTGTGCTCTGCTTTCTCTGAGGACGAGGAGTGAGACCTGAGCTGCAGCCGGAGGTGGTGGTAACCGTGCACACAGGAGCATTCCCAGGGGGAACAGGGTTGATAGCCACAGTCCTAACAGGTTCAGTGGTAGTGCTTGGATATGCTTGGCATTAGCCTCGGAGAGGCAAAAACTGATGGTGTAAAAAATGAGGCATAAAATATGCTTTTCTGTTTATGCTCTGATTTCCAGTTAGTTAGGGATAGAGACCAAGCCAAAATCTTTCTGCTAAGAGCTTCACAGTGCTGCTTAGTTCAACAAAAATTATCTTCTCTTAGTTCTTCCAATATTTACAACTGCAATTGGGCTGTCAGATGGTTCCATGGCAACTGTCTCCGCAGTCCAAATTTCTTGTTATGTGACGCTGAACTGACATCCAAACTAGGGCCAAGATTATGCCCCTTTCCATGATGCAAAATGTATGATCCCCACCTAATACCAAATAAATGGAAATCTCATCCCTTTCAGGAGAGGAAACAGTCTTATACTGTATTTTTATCACCAATAGCCAGTTTTATGTAGACTCGCCTCACTTCAATGGGGCTTGCTATATTAAACGAAATTATTTTAAAAAATATATTGGAGCAGATGCTTCAGTTTGAAAAGGGATTTGGTTGTGCAAAAGAACTTATCCCTGGATTCTCTTATGTAGCAGATTTCTCTAGTGTTTTTAAATGTGACTAACACATTAGGCTGACAGGGAGATCATGCATGGAAAGGTGGAGGGTCAGTAAAAGAGAGTAAGACCCCCAATGTGATGATTTGACATGGGGACAGTAGCAATGGGCTCTAGTGTGTCAGAGATGATGAGGATGGCACAGGATAGGACAGGGTTCAGATCTCTTGTTCACAGGGTCGTTATGAGTTGTACTCAACTCAACGGCACCCAACAACACTACCACCACCACCCTAGGCTTCAGGACCAAACAAGATTTACCTATATCTATCTTAAAAGTGGTTTTTTTGCTACGTCTTTTTCATTTCTGGGCATGAGAGCTTCATAGATACGTCAAATGATGAACAACACTCTTCCCTGGACTTGGGAACACTTTTTGGCAATAAAGAAGATGAGTAGTAGTATTATAACAACAATGGTATCTGGGATCAAGTGGGACCCATTGTCTTTGTTGACTTAAGTGCCAGTGACACCGTCTTCTGAGTCATGTTCAGCAGGTGAGTCCTTCAATACTCTGCTAATAATGACACTCCTCTGGCCCAGTCTTCACTTTGGAAGAATATGGCTTCATTTCAATAGTACAAAATAATACTTCCAGTTCACGCTGTTGTCATTTGGTGCCATCAGATTCTATGCAACTCAATACAACCTTATACACAACAGACCTGAACGATGTCCTATCCTGTGCCATCCTCATCATCTCTGACACACTTAAGCCTGAAAGGAAAATTTTTTACACAATGTCCCCACACCCAAGTATTGTAAAGAACCTATACCTTTGATCTTGTGTGAATGTTTGTGTTCCAGGAACTAGCTGACCACAAACTGAACAAACAATTACTGGCAAAAACCATATTTTAACTAACGTCAGCAGCAGGTAACTGACCTAAAATTGAACTTCTCCTTTTCCAAAGAGCCAATGAGCTAATTCCATGCCAAAGAACCCCTAGACCTTGCTTTTTTGGGCTCAGGGTCGACTTCCCTGTCTCCTGAGTGAGATACAAGTCGTCCCGAAGCTTTGTCAATAAAGCCTCTTGTGATTGCAGCGAGTGGATCTGGTGTGAGTTGCTCGGGGTCGTGCCCGGTCTGGGAAAAGCCCTAGTTTGGGGTCTTTCAAAGCCCACTGCTGTGGTCAATGTATCAATCAATCTCATTGGCGGACTTCCACTCTTTTGTTGAGGCACCCATCTTTACAAGCATGATTTCTCTTTCCAAGAAATAGCAACATGTCCAAAGTATGATAGTTGAAGCTTCATCATCTTTGCATCCAAGGGGCACTCTGTCTGCATTTTAGTACTTTCTTATTTAGAAGTAAAAGATATTCAAACATACCATCGGAAAGTATACAGTGTCACTGGGTGAAGGTTTAACTAGTTAAAGCCATCATAACTATTCTAAGTATCACATCATATTTGACATTAATGGTGAAATAATTAAACTTGCTGACATATATTTTTCCCCAAAAAAGTTAGGTAAAATGAATAATATAGGCCATTTTACAAAGAATGGATACTGGATTATTAGGGTGGCCTCAACCATGCTACACTGTTCTCATGGTGAAGCGTGGACTTGTTACGGGGCTGCCTTACCTCCTATGGAGATGATGGCATCGAAGCCCTGATCCCTAAATGGAAGGTTAAGGTTGTCACATACCATGACTTCACATCCTCTACTCCGGGCAATCTCTACCAATGGCCCACAGTAGTCACAGCCCAGAGTGTGTACCTGGCTGTTCACTTTAAGATATTTTCCAGTTCCACAACCTGTAAGAGAAAAATCATGGTTACATGCTATTCTTAAAGGACAGAGGCGGAATGTCTACTAGCTTGTTTTATAACAAGGAATCTAAGTAAATTCCTATGAACTACCAAGACAGAACACAGCATCAGCTGGTCAGTCAGCCATTGATGCTGAGTTGGAAAGGACTCATAGCTGACCCTCTAACGGGTTTTCAGAGGCTGTAAGTCACCAGGAGGAGACTGCCAATATTTCTCCTGCAGAACAACTGGTGGATTTGAACTACTTGCCTTTGAGTTGGCAGCACAACCACTTACCCACTAGGCCACCAGTTTCCTGAACCCAGTACAGCACAAAGATATTTTCAATAACAAAAGAAAAACTTTCAGGGAACACATAAGCCATGCCATATACAAAATAAAGAGAAGAGAAAAGGAGAATGAAAAAAAAAATGCTGAACAACATTTAATTAATTATCATGTTATTTGTCATTGTTATGTGCCATCAAGTCACCTGTAACTCACAGTGACTGTTATCCACAATAGCTCTGGACCCTGTCCTTTCTTGAGCAAATCTCACTAACTCTGACACACCAAATCCCACTATCCCAGTCACTATGCTAGTCCATCTCATCTAAGGTCTCTCTCCCTCCTGCACTGTCTTCCCAGCCTTCCAAGCAGATTCTTCTCCAAGAACTGGTACCTCCTGGCAACATACCCAAAGTATGTGAGATGGAGCTTAGTCCACTGTAATATAACAACAAATAAATCTTAATTGACTCATAGCAGAATCTCTATATCCCAATGACAGTGCAGTCTCTTAACATCAATTATGTATTTCACACAGTTAGTGTATATAGAAAGGAACATATTTAGTTTCTTCTAAAAAATTTCCTTGTAGGGAATTCTGGTACCTAGTGGCAAGAAGCTGCACTGCAATCCCAGAGATACTCGATTCAAATCCACCAGATGTTCTGCTGGAAAAGGAGGGGCAATCTCCTCCTGTACCAGTCAGATCTGATTTGATGGTACACACACACACAAAATAAAAAAAA